GATGTACGGTGGTGGCTCTCCGAGGACACTGATGTACGGTGGTGGCTCTCCGAGGACACGATGTAAGGTGGTGGCTCTCCGAGGACACTGATGTAAGGTGGTGGCTCTCCGAGGACACTGATGTAAGGTGGTGGCTCTCCGAGGACACTGATGTAAGGTGGTGGCTCTCCGGGGACACTGATGTACGGTGGTAGCTCTCCGAGGACACTGATGTAAGGTGGTGGCTCTCCGAGGACATTGATGTAAGGGGGTGGCTCTCCGAGGACACTGATGTAAGGTGGTGGCTCTCCGAGGACACTGATGTAATGTGGTGGCTCTCCGAGGACACTGATGTAAGGTGGTAGCTCTCCTAGGACACTGATGTAAGGTGGTGGCTCTCTGAGGACACTGATGTAAGGTGATGGCTCACTGTGGACACTGATGTAATGTGGTGGCTCTCTGAGGACTCTGATGTAAGGTGGTGGCTCTCTAAGGACTCTGATGCAAGGTGGTGGCTCTCTGAGCACTCTGATGTAAGGTGGCACTCTGAAGCCTGTGATGTAAGGAGGGACTTTGGAGATATGGATGTAAGGGGGGATTGCTGGGGAAAAGGAAGAATTTGATGTGATTGTTGAGCTTCTTGAGGACGCGCATCATGCGAAATGCATTGAGGCTGAGCTGCACACGTCACTTCCGGTTTTTGTAATGCATGCTGGTATGTGGAAAGGTTCCCTCTGGTGGACTGTACATGGTGGTACCCCTCTTGGCAGCAGATGCGTGTGAGTGCATATACGTTTTTATTGTATTTCTTAAAGTGGAGTTCCAGAGGAAATTAAAAAAAAATAAAAGTCAGCAACCACAAAAACTGTAGATGCTGGTTTTTAAAAAAGGACACTTACCTGTCCCTCGATCCTGCTGTGTCCTCCCTGCAGCCCGTTTCACCAGCCGCCCTGTGTTCCTGGCACCGGCATCTTCAGTGTGGGCACCCGGCTGTAACAGCTTGCGGCTTCTCAGCCGGGTGCCCACTGCGCATGCGCGAGTAGCGCTATGCTTTCTGAATAGTCATCTGGGACCTGTCATGTGTCCCAGAGGACTACGGGGAGGGAGGACAACTTCCACTTCTGATCGCCTAGGCCCTGTCCCTCGATCCCATGGTGTACTCACCACAGCCGGTTTCACCGGCCGTCCTCGCTCCATGGTGCCGGCATTTCAGTGTTGGCACCGGCTGTGACAACTTGCGGCTTCACAGCCGGGTGCCCACTGTGCATGCAGGCGAAGCGCTGCGCTTTGTGAATGGTCCTGTAGTCTTCTTGGACCTGTCATGTGTTTCCGATCACCTATGCAATTGCAGCAGAAGTGAGAGTGGGTACCTGTCAATTTCAGGTACCTGCTCCCCAAAGGTGCCAATTCTTAACAGGGAGCGGGGGACCAGTCCTTAAAATGGAACTTCCCCTTTTGGGTGGCGCTCCACTTTTAATAAACATACTATACTATATACAATTTCCTTTCTGGCTTCTCTCGGAGAACAATTAGTAACAATGGAAGAGGCTTATAATTGCTTGTGAAAATACTTTTTTTGACATTCTGCATGAGAAGTAAACATCTAATTGGGGCTGATTATTATAATACAGGATTTATAAAGCGGCAACAGCTTGCGCAGCGCTTTAATTAGAGGATCTATCATCCAAGGCACACTGACCACTTGTTGGTCAAGGATATCTGGTGAGAGTGCACAATTCAGCTGAGCATGTTGGTAGAACACTGCTGGAATATTAAGAAGATTTGGTCACTCTAAGTTCACACACAAGAATTTGGTGGATGGGGACTTTTCTATTTAATATTATTTGAACTTAATGATCACTATTGTATTCATTTATGTTAAGGATGAGTTCCCACTGTTATTGTTTTTGTTCATGACTGAGGGACATGCAAAATATCGAGGCAATTACTTACCACCTACACCATAAAACAACCACCCCCCCCCTTCAACCTCCCCCACCTAAATAACCATGCGACTCTCCTTTTGGTGAAAACCAGCCATAACAGCCCATTTATTTAACATAATTCTTACATAACACTTTTTCTGGTACAATTAAATAATAACTGACATTAACAATCACAACTGGGTCCAAGGTCTTCGAAGGCACTGTTACTCACATCAAAGACTTGCCTGTATCTGACGCCCAACGAAAAGGCCCCCAGCCGCTACCACACCACCTCGCGGACAATACTACAGTTACGTAGTCCCAGATACAACCAATGACCTCCCACCTTACCACCATGACCTTATAATTAGGAAGGGACACTCATACCTAAGATGGGCCCAACCCATAATCCACCAACTTGTCACTCCAGCACCGCCTTCAAAGACCCAACGACCCCTACCGGCTGCCATGACAAAGCATAAAACCAGACAACATCACAGGACTTCAAAATGGCGAGCAAGAAAAGAAACAAAACAATGAACCAACACAAAACAACCACAGGACAAACACCAAAAAGGACAAAACCAATAAACAAAGCAAACAAACAAAACAGCAAAACAAAACAAAGAAACAGCTCCAGGGAGGGAGGGCGGCAGAAACCTCACCCATGCTGGCACAAGCTCCGACTGACCACAGACAAGTCCCGACTGACCACAGACAAGTCCCAACCCCTCTCCTCATCCTAGCAAGACCACAGACAAGTCCCGACTGACCACAGACAAGTCCCAACCCCTCTCCTCATCCTAGCAAGACCACCCTCCAGCCCGATTTCTCCGATCAGGTGAGTAACCACCCCCATCTCCTATACTCCCCACCCAAATCCAGTCTCCGCCTCGTCTGCAAGCCCCAGTCATGCTGGCTTCGCTCAGTCCAGGCCCTGACTTATTTGATGTGAATGTGACACTCATCCTGACTGCCACACTCTATAAGGGGGATTTACTAAAACTGGTGAACTCGGAATCTGGTGCAGTTGTGTGTGGTAGCCAGTCATCTTCTAACCTCAACTTGTTCATTTAAGCTTTGGCAATAAAGCCCGGAAGCTGATTGGTTTCTATACAGAAGTGAGGCTGATGTTGTACTCTCTAGCTTTAGTAAATAAACCCCAATGTGTTGTTTGTTACTGACCCCTGAACTCTATACATTATGTTGTATAAAGTCCTGACCAAGATGTTCATTGTCTTAACAGTTACTGGTGTTAATTAAGTTTTTCTTTAACCGCTTCCTGACCGCCCTATAGCAGATATATTACTACATGGCGGCAGGGGTGTGCAAAATTAGGTATATATACACATGATTTTGTGTTTCCGAGCCATGTGCCGCCACTCGCGGCTGCGGCTGTCAATCACCGGGTCCCGGTCGGTGATTACCCGCCAGCGCCTGGTGATTACCAAGCATCTCCGATGGGGAGGAGGACTGCTTTGTTTACTAACAGTCCTCCTCCCTGTCAGCTTGGGTACACTGCTCTGGATGGCTGCTTACAGTGAAGCACCAACACACCGCCCCCCAGTAAAACACTCCCTGGACACAATTAACCCTTTGATCGCCCCTCATGTTAACCCTTTCTGCCCTGCCCAGTGTCATTGCTTTTTTTAGCACTGATCATTGTATTGGTGTCACTGGGGGTGTCAGTGACACCAAGTCAGTTCCCCTCAGTGTCAGAATGCCTGCCGCAGTCCCGCTATAAGTCACTGATTGCCACCATTACTAGTAAAAAAAGTGTAAAAAAATTAATACAATTTCAGTATCTATACCGCCATTTGTAAACAATATAACTTCACGTAAACCAGGCCATTTTTTACATTATGGCGCTGTGTTACTTTAACTGACAATTGCGCTGTCATGCAATGCTACACCCAAAAGAAATGTATGTCCTTTTTCTCCCACGAATAGAGCTTTCTTTTGGTGGTATTTGATCGCCTGTGTGTTTTTTATTTTTGGCGCTATAAGAAAAAAAAATACTAACAATTTTGAGAAAAAAACAATATTTTTGACCTTTTGCTATTAAACATATCCAGTAAAAAATTTTAAAAAATCGAATTTCTTCATAAATTTAGGCCAAAATGTATTCTGCTACATCTTTACTAAAAAAAAATCCCAATACGTGTAAATTTATTAGTTTAACTGAAAGTTATAGCATTTACAAATGGCAGTATATATACTGGATTTTTTTTCTTAATTTTTTTTTTTTTACTAGTAATGGCGGCGATCAGCGATTTATAGCTCAGGGTGAACTACTCTCATCTGTGAAAAGCACAGGGTGCCAGTGGTGGACCTGCCAATTCAGGTGTTCAATGGCAAATGCCAATCAAGCTCTATGGTGCTGGGCAGTGAGCACAGGACCCACTAGAGGATGCCAGGTCCTCAGGCCATCTTCATAAAGTCTGTTTCTGATTGTTTGGTCAGAGACATTCACTGCTGGAGGTCATTTTGTAGGGCTCTCGCAGTGCTCATCCTGTTCCTCCTTGCACAAAGGAGCAGATACCGGTCCTGCTGATGGGTTAAGGACCTTCTATGGCCCTGTCCAGCTCTCCCAGAGTAACTGCCGGTATCCTGGAATCTCCTCCATGCTCTTGGGGACTGTGCTAGGACACACAGCAAACCTTCTGGTAATGGCACGTGTTGTTGCCATAGTTAAGGAGTTGGACTGCCTGTGCAACCTCTGTAGGGTCCAGGTATCACCTCATTCTACCAGTAGTGACACTGACCCTAGCCAAATGCAAAACTAGTGAAAAACAGTCAGAAAAAAATGAATAGGGAAAACAATGTCAGTGGCCTCCACCTGTAAAACCATTCTTGTTTTGGGGGTCATCTCGTTGTTCCCCATCTAGTGCACCTGTTGATAATTTCATTAACATCAAAGCAGCTGAAACTGATTAACAACCCCCTCTGCTACTTAACCTCCCTGGAGGTATTCCCGAGTGTAGCTCGGGGTAAAGTTTCAGCACCACAAGCGGTAACCCTGAGCAACACTCGGGAATACCCTGCAGTGCTGCTCCGGGATCTGTTCTTCACTTACCTTGTCCTGTGCTCCCGCGATGTCCCTCCTGCAGTGTCCCCTGTAATGTCCTACGGCCGATGCCGGCATCTGTCTTCTGGGTTCTGTCCCCTGCGACGTCAGGACGTACGGGGACAGAACTGGTGGGAAATTTGAAAATAACAAAAAGTGACATTCACTAAATACACTAAAATCACATAGTAAAACATTACTGTATCAAACCATTTCACATACATTTTATCCCTAGTGCTTTGTCCGTGGCGTCCAAAAAGCGTCCCTTTAGGTCAAAAGCGGTTTTAGACCAGCTAGAGAACAGCGATAGTAAATTAGAACCACTTGCAGAATTGAGTGATAATGATTCATAGGGAAATTCGTCATCAGACACTGAAAACGATTTTGCGTCTTTGCTCAGTGATGTGCGAGCTTGGCGCTATATTTCAAATTTCAGTGTTTTTGGTTTGATTATATTATTGAATTAAATTTATTATTATATTATTATTTTTTATGATTATTTATTAAATTATAATTTATGATTTCGTGTTTCAAATTTTAACATACCCGGGATGTTTACTAGACTCTTGTACGGACAGATTTCAGTGAGTTATTCCTAAAAATTACAGGCCTACAATAGAAAAAATACATATTTCCATGCAAAAAAATGTACCGTTTTGAGCACAGAAATACTGACATAATCAGACCGCTAGAGATACTACCTGACTAGATCAATATCCCAGGAGTTTAATTGACTTGATGCTATACTCTGTATAAAGAGTGTTCCTTTAATTTTTTTCAACAGTGTATAACGAGAAAGAAGTACTACTTTTCTCTTATTCCTTTGGTGCTTGCTTTATCTGAGATTGTGATTCCTGAAAAATGCACTGTGTTTTTAGATGCGTGATCCATGCATATAATAACGCAGCGCATTTGCAGGTGCAGGAACCATAGGAAAATTGCATGGTGATTTCAAGGACACTGCATTACTAAAATGCTTCATGCATTTTTTTTTCTGCTGGAAATACAGGCATGCCAGCCCATTCAAATTAATGGACTTCTGTGCCTGCACAAATGTGGGCGGCAAACCCACATAGTTGTGAACCAGGCCTAAAACGGTAGTGAAATAATTTTTTAAAAATAAAAACACTAGTCCCCCTGCAGATTTAAGTCATAATGCACTAGTATGCATCTTATGACAGACTTATCAGTAAACTGAGCCCTTCAGCGCTGTGCTATTATGGATCCCCTTGGCTCTCAGTGCATCCCTCTTCTCTGGGTTCTCTATCTTCAGCCGCTTGAATGGGTAGGCTGTGGTGATATCACTCCAGCGCATGTGCATGGGAGTAACATTACCAAGGACACAGTGTGGGTTGCAAATGTGATGTGAGCTGCGTATGCGTGGCTCAAATCACATTATCGCTGGCAGGCAGGTGGGACATTTATAACAGAAGAGACCACTAGGGACTCTTTTGGTAAAGTGTTACTAAACCCAGGACCCTGCAATTACTATATCTGATCTCCCACAGTACATAGAACACGGAAGTGCAATTATTTTAGTAAATATAAACTGCTAAATACCTTTTCACATCAGCAGTTAGGGCAGTCTTATGACTTTAGCTGAGCACTGGTTAAAGCTTGTAGAAGTTTTCTTTCTTCTCTAGGAGGATGCAAAACCCATGACCTCGATTTGGACAGTGCTGATTGGTCCTGTGCTGATCACATGCACTCTCCCAAGAAAAAAAAAAAAACCTCTCTAGCAATACACACTAAACTGAGCATATGGACTCAGTCTGTGTTATCAGGAGATAAAACGTGGACATTTGAACAAGAGGAGGATCAGAGAAGACAGGATCAAACAGCCTTTTTACACAATGTAGAGGATTAACCCCTTAGGTTCCACAGTGAGTATAACAAGCACATTTTACTGCATATACAGACTGATTTTACTGTTGAGGGTTTAGTAACACTTTAAGTTATTAACATAAGTGTTACTACAGTTGTCCACAGTTGTACAGAGTCCGTACTGTTATAGATCAAGGTAAGGTTTATGGACCAATTCTTTATGTTTACATTATTAAAGTTTTTTGAGATAACTCTATGTGTGTGTTTGTTTTTTGGGATGTGGGGGGGGGTAGAGAGTGTGATAGACATTTTTGATCCTACAATAATTTTTAACATTATTGTGAACTTCTGTTAGGGGTCTAAGTCTTAGTTCCTGCAACTTATTTTTCATGACCTTAACAACCTACCCTTTTGAAGCTTTCCTGTAGAGCTTTATGACTGTATGGCCACCTGGCTGAATAAGCCCTGGAGTCATCATTCCTAAACCCCTCCTAGGGAGTATTGTCATAGATCTTCCTGCGGGAACTGACTTCAAAGGAAGTATGCTTAGCTGGACATTTACCTATTATGAATTCCATCTGATGAGCTACAGTTGGCCAATATCTTTCAGAAGTCACAGAGCCCCCCTTTGAAAAGAAATGGCAAAGTACTGGAATTTATTGAAGGGTGTGACTACCTGGAATGGGGGGGGGGGGGGGGTTATAAAAGTAAGCTATTGCTCTCTTTCTGCCCTTCCCTCTTGAAGCCCAGTCATCAAGATGTCTGCGTAGCATATTATTCTATGCTTCTTTCCTGTAACTTTCTTTCCTGTAGTTTTTTTTTCTATGTATTGGTAACATTCTGTGTTTACATTGTAATATCATTACTTTAAGGTTCCATGTACACGGGACACTTCTGAACTATGGAAACTGACTGCTAAACGTAGGTTAAAAAAACGTCTGTTTAGTCATGTTTGCATACCGCGTTTATGAGCATTTGCGTTTAGAAGCGTTTTTTAAAGATAACCTCAGGAGACCTTCCAAAATGCCCAAAATGCACTGAAAAATAGTAAAAAAATTAACTTTTTCAGACATTTTGAGATAAATAGAGAGAGCAAAAGCAGAGACAACAGTATTTGTTGAGATTAGTTGTCTTGTGTTTTTGTGGTGTTTGGATGTGTTCCAGCTCATTTCTGTGCAGAAATTATTGCAGCAGTGTCTAACATTTTTTTTTTAATGCAAAACCTCAAAGTATGGTGTACCAGGTCCATTTGAGTACCGAGAAAACGCTTTGCATGCATTTTTCATGATGAAAAAAGGCTCTGGACAGCATCTGGAAATGGAAGAGTTAAAGAAAATTTTCAAACACAAACGCCTATAAAAAGGGTTAGCAGCGTTTACAAGCGTTTTGCGTTTGAAATGCTGATAATATCTACTGCTAAACGCAAGTTTTTTGCGTTCAAAAAAAAAACGACTGTAAACTCAACTGCCTGTAAACTCAACTGCCTGTAAATGACGATGTGTACATGGACACATAGGAAAACATTAGGGAGAGTTCAGGGGCTGCTGAAAAAAAAACATTGAACAGCTCCTAAACGTGAGTTTATCAGCTGCAGTGTACATGAGCCCTTAACCTCCCTGGCGGTATGATTATTTCAGATTTTTGGTGCTGAAAGCAGTACCATTATTTTGCATGGAAATTTGGCGTTTTATATTGTAGGCCTGTCATTTTTAGGAATAACTCACTGAAATCTGTCCGAACAAGAGTCTAGTAAACATCCCGGGTATGATAAAAGTTAAAACACAAAATCATAAATTATAATTTAATAAATAATCATAAAAAATAATAAATATAATAATAATAAATTTAATAAAATAATATAATCAAATTAAAAACACTGAAATTTGAAATATAGCGCCAAGTTCGCACATCACTGAGCAAAGTCACAGAATCATTTTCAGTGTCTGATGACGAATTTCCCCACGAATCATTATCACTCAATTCTGCAAGTGGTTCTGATTTACTATCGCTGTTCTCTAGCTGGTCTAAAACCGATTTTGACCTAAAGGGACGCTTTTTTGGACGCCATGGACTTTTCTAAGTTTCCAGGCAGAAAGAACAGTCAAAAATGCAGGCAGCGCACAGGACAAAGCACTAGGGACAAAATTTATGTGAAATGGTTTGATACAGTAATGTTTTACTATGTCATTTTCATTTATTAGAAAATGACAGTTTCTAAAATTTTTAAATTTGCCGCCGGTTCCGGCCCCCGTCTGTCCCGACGCTTGCAGCGACCAGAACACGGAAGCTGAATGCCAGCATCAGCCAGAGGAGATGGCCGGGGATGCTGCAGGGGACACATTGCAGGAGCGAAGGACAAGGTAAGAGCTGCAGGGAATCCCTGAGCAATGCTGCATGGTAAGCCTGAGTGTAGCTCGGGGTTACCGCTTGTCGTACTGAAATTTTACCCCGAGCTACACTCGGGAATACCTCCAGGGAGGTTAAAGTTATACCGCTTACTTTTTAATTTTGTTATAATTGATTAGTAGTCAGCTTCTATACTGTGTAAATAAATTAGATCTTTATTTTTGCACAGTTGTTATCATTTGTTATTAACATCATTGGTAACAGTCACATCAGGATTGGCTAAATTCATGTATAGACAAAAGGTTGTAATCACTTATTATATTTATCACCAAGTGAATAAGTGAGGTGGCAAAACCGCAAAACAAGAGAAAGGGGGGGGGGGATGTTTGCCCAGGGTCCAATCCATATTAAAGACAGCCCTGCTTAGATGGCCTCCTTTACATCAATAGCTCATCTAAACCATAACATTGATAAAGTGTGGCATGTCATTTGTTGCATTGCATATTTTAAAATATATGGGCAGCACAGTGGCTAAATGGTTAGCACTTCCGCCTGGCAGTACTAGGGTCGTTGGTTCGAATCCCAACCATGGCACCACCTGCCTGGAGTTTGCATGTTCTCCCTGTGCCTGCGTGGGTTTCCTCCGGCTACTCCGGTTTCCTTGCACACTCCAAAGACATGCTGGTAGGTTAATTGGATCCTGTCTAAATTGGCCCTAGTATGTGTATGTATGAATGTAAGTTAGGGACCTTAGATTGTACATCCCTTGAGGGTTAGGGACTGATGTGAATGTACAATATATATGTTTTGACGGCGCTATATACAGGGTGTTTTCTTCACCAGGGAAAGAATTCTTCGGTCATCCACCACAGTTGTTTTCCGTGGTCTTCCGGGTCTTTTGGTGTTGCTGAGCTCCCCGATGCATTCCTTCTTTTTAAGAATGTTCCAAACAGTTGTTTTGGCCACGCCTAATGTTTTTGCTATCTCTCTGATGGGTTTGTTTTGTTTTTCAGCCTAATGATGGCTTGCTTCACTGATAGTGACAGCTCTTTGGATCTCATCTTGAGAGTTGACAGCAACAGATTCCAAATGCAAATAGTACACTTGAAATGAACTCTGGACCTTTTATGTGCTGATTGTAATTGGGATAATGAGGGAATAACACACACCTGGCCATGGAACAGCTGAGAAGCCAATTGTCCCATTACTTTTGGTCCCTTAACAAGTGGAAGGCACATATGCAAACTGTTGTAATTCCTACACCATTCACCTGATTTGGATGTAAATACCCTCAAATTAAAGCTGACAGTCTGCAGTTAAAGTACATCTTGTTCGTTTCATTTCAAATCCATTGTGGTAGTGTATAGAGCCAAAAATGTTAGAATTGTGTTGATGTCCCAATATTTATGGACCTGACTGTGAGTACCTGAAATAAAAAATAAATAAATAAATATATGGCCATAGGACCATCAGTTTTGCATAATATACAGAAGAGTGTCTAAATAAAAAAACATTAAAAAAACCTTTGTACTGTCAACACTTTTTTCTTACGATGCTTTAGTAAAGTCTTGGCAGCATATTGTCAGTAGCCAGACCGACCAATTGGTTTGAATATCACAGCTGGGATATGATTACACAACTGAACAATATCACACAGCTGGCTTCAGTGTCTCATTGTTGAAAGTAGGGCGATTTTTCTAAAAGGACCTAGTACAGGAGATCAGAGACACGCTCATGAGGTCAATACATTAACACAATGCAGTCATATAGGCTGTGAATAAACAAGCGATTTTCAAATTCAAAAGATAAAAAAAAAATAATATGTCATATGACAGATTTCAATGTTTGTATTCCATTATCTCAGACAGACAGTCTGTTTGTAAGATTTGTAGAACAATGTCAGTAAAAAAAAAGATTTATTCTGTTCTTTCTGCACTCGAATATCAGCCAACGATAGTGATCATATCCCAAGGACACCCAATTCCTATCAAGAGCAACAGGATTTGTTTTGTACTTGCAGAAAATGTACTTACCCTGAAGTACAGTCATCACAGCACAGAATTGATAAGCTCAAAGCGTATCTAAAAAAAAAAAAAAAATTTTATTTTTTTGCAGCTTACTGTTTCTTAGATGTAGTGGCTGTATTAGTATTCCTTTTTTTATACACACTTCATGACCTTGGGTGACAACACTCAATCACAAAAGGATCAGTATTGTCACCTTAGGCTGCTCTCCTGGTTTGAACTACAAACACCTGTAGTGGTTTTACTGTGTAGTTCACAGGAAGTGACAAGGACGTGTTTTCTGTACTTGCAGAAAATGTTTTTGGCCTGAAAAAGAGAAAACAAATGCTGGAAAGATACTGTAGAGTTTAATTAAAGACCACATGGATGAGTTCTTTATTGAAAATATATTTTAAGCAACAGATAGCATGGATTCATGAAAGACAGAAATTGTCAAACAAATCTGATTTCTTTTTATGAGGGGGTGGCGGTGGACGTGGTATACTTGGATTTTGAAAAAGAGTTTGACACAGTTCCCCACACACGGCTAATGTATGATGATCAGTGTACATGTACCCTGAGGAATGCCAATTACCGGCTCTCCTCTCCTCACAAGCTGTCAGCGTGACAGCTCGTGAGGAGAGAAATGCCGATAACCGGCATTTCCTTATTTACATGCGATCAGTTGTGATTGGACACAGCTGATCACATGACAAAGTTGACGTCTTCAGCTCTTTCCGTTGATCAGTGATTCTCTGTGTCGCAGTTAGAGTGGGAGAATGTCATATGATGTCCTCCCAGAACGAGAGAACCGCTTTGCGCCTGTCATTTCCTTATGTGGTGGGCGGGAGGCGGTTAAAAAAGGCCTGAATTCTTTCCTAGATACACAGAATATACCTGGATACTAACATTTATAGGTAAAGTTGATCCACGGGCTTAAATGTCAGCCCCTCATGGATAAGCCCCATACGTCACCATATCCAACAAAAATACCTCATTGTCTTGAGGAATGCAAATGATGAACTGTAATCCACAGTACAGACCTCTTCAAAAAAAGGGGGGGAGAGGAGTAAATACCATGTGCATCCAAAATTGCTCCCAAAGAAAAAAAGAAACTCTACATGTTTTGCTCCAGAAAACAGAGCTTCGTCAGGAGTATAAGGAATTAAAATAGGTCACATAGTGGCTGGAAGTTGTGCTCAGCTGCACATTTTATGCCTTACCTAAGGTACACAAACATAAAGAAAAATCTCCTGGCCGCCCTTTTATCTTGGGCAATAAAAATCTTACAGAAGAAGTAAGCAAATATCTAGATTATATCATGCATCCATTTGTATATAGTTTACCTTCATATATCGACGATACACAAGACTTTGTAAACAGACTAATAGATATCACAATGGAAGATGATGTGTGGTTAGGTAGTCTAGATGTGGAGGCTTTATATAGTAATATAAATCATGACTTGGGTCTAAAAGCTTGTAATTCCTTTCTGGTAAATAGAGGCAAACTATTTGAGAACCATACTACATTCACTCTCCAACTTTTGCAGTTTGTATTGGAACACAATTTTTTCTTATTTGATAGACCGTGCAGAGGAACTGCGATGGGTTCATTGTGCGCACCTACGTATGCAAATCTCTTTCTTGGGTGGTCAGAGTGTACTATGGTCTTTGTAGAAGAACTAGAAGGTTTTACGTCACACATTCTTATTTGGGCAAGATTCATTGATGACGTGTTCATATTATGGCAGGGTCAAAATAATCTGGCATTAATTACAGCTGAGCATACATTTTTTATATATTTGAATAAAGGTTATATATTTTAGATTCATCAATTGGCCAGATGGTGCATAGGGAAATGCACCCTTATCCAGTATAGATTTGTTATTTGCTAAAGATGATGATTCACAATTAAGGCTTAGTTTAATAGTTGAGAAATTTGAACTGCCATTGCTGACTTCGCCTATTAAAATTGCTAGCAGTCTGGCAGTCATGTTGATGCTTTGGTTTCCATAGTTTCTAAATCTAGTTTCTAAATCACTGACCCAGAACAAGAACAGAATGTTCCTAGAAACTAGCTTTCTAGCATTTGACATCATGGGGATAACCAAACCTGACATCCTTCTTTCCTTCAAAATTTTGGTTTCAATAGCTATGTCGTCAAATTCAGAGACCGTAAAGCTGGGTGAAATATTGGTCCTTGAGACAGCAGGTCTGGCTGGTTCAGCAGAGTCCATGGACCATCCACTGCTAGTTTCACTTGCTCCTGGGTCAGGCTAGGGCAACCAGTATCACCGGAATTAACTCCTCCCAAATCCTGCCCAAGAGACATGCCAGCAGCTGAATTGGGGTAAAAAACGTAGATTAGGGAAAACTGGTCCCAAGGTATTACCAAGGAATCTACTCCTACTGTGAGATGGTCCCGCATCCTGGACTCAAACCTGTCCAATTTGCGGTTGAACCTGGACGCCAATAGATCTATGTCAGGGCACCCCCCCCCCCCCCACTCTGGCAGATTGGCTAGAAAACCTCAGATGCAAGGCACATTCCACCGAAACTAATTGCTGGCAAATGAGATAATCCGCCCGTCAATTTTCTACCCTTGGAATGTATACTGCTGACAGAGCTGGAACATGCCCTTCTGCCCAAGTCACAATGTGGTTTACCTCCTCCTGAGTCCTCCGGCTCCTGTTACCACCTTGGTGGTTGACACATGCCACCGTTGTGGCATTGTCAGACTGAATCCTGACTGGCCAACCATTAAGCCTGGTCATTCAATACTTCAGGGCAAACCTCAGTAACCTCATGCAGAGATGTATTGAAGGATATTTTCTGCTTCTTAAACTCTGAACCTGATCTCTCAGGGCGTGGCACTCTCCCGGAGGCAGAAACCGTGTCTAGGACCATCCCCAAATATTCCAGGGCTGAGTTCTCGAAGTTGAGCACCCACCCCAGGTGTTCCAGGTTATGAACTGCAAGAGCCACATTTTGTCTCAAGCTTGGAACAGACTGACTCCTGAGAAGTAGATCGTCCAGATAACCTAAAACCGATACTCACTGAGTTCTGAGCAGCCCCAACACTGGAGCAAGAAGCTTTGTAACTATTAAAGAGGCTGTGGCCAGCCCAAGAGGTAATGCCACAAATTTAAACTGCTGAGTTTCTACTGCAAAACGCAGAAACATTTGATGAGAGAGAATATTGGCACATGCAGTTATGCGTCCTTGATGTCTATAGACTCTAGAAAATCTCACTCTTGTAATGAGGCCACTACTGACGAAACTGATTTCATCTGAAAAGAATAAACATTTAGAAACTGGTTCAGTGCCTTGAGATCTAGAATAGGCCTTAAGTCACAATTCGGTTTTTGAACCAATAACAGGTTTGAATAAAAGCCCTGGAATCTTTTCATCTTGCCTGCAATAAAGACTTTTTCAATGGATTCGTTGGTACATTTGACTTTAGAAAAACGGGGAGGGAGGAAGACCCAAAATTACAGTCTGTACCCCTTAACAACCATAGAGGTGACCCACTTGTCCTGGATCAGTTCCTTCCAGGCACCTAAACAAAAAAAAAAGTCTCCCCCACCCACCCAAACGAGTGGAGGTGCCCCTTCATAGGGAAGCAGATTTTGAATCCGTCTAGGTGGATTTTTGCACCCAGGGCTTCCTCTGGCTCTGTCCCCGAGATCTACCTCTAGATTCTGTGTATGGTGAAATGACTGTCTGGCACTCGAGGACCCAGTAACCAAAGTGCCCAACCCTTTAAAAGTTGGGTGCTTGTATTTCCTCTTAAAGGGTAGCTGTGACCCCCTCCCTTCCCAAAAATCTTTTCGATAGACTTGTCTAGATCTTTGCCAAACAGTCGTTCACCATGATAGGGAAAACCTGCCAATAACTTCTTGAACAGCAGTTCTGCCAACAAACCCTTTAACCACAAGACTCACGTGTGCACTGACAAAAAAGCCATGCGAGAGAACTGCTGAATGATGTCCTTAATGGCATCAACTGCAAAACATAAGGCACATGCAAGTGGGCCAAACCCTCAGTAGAATACTCCCCTTAAACTGACGATCTTCTAACCAACCATTTGACACGATCACTCAGAATCTGACAAATGCCAATAGCCGCCACTGCCGGCTATGTCGCAACCCTGCCAGAGAAAAAGAGGCTTTAAGGAGAAATTCTAGCTTATCTGCTGGATCCTGGATATTATCCAAAGGATATGGTAAATACTTGTTCAGGGAAGAAACAGCAGCATCAAGTACTGCGATGCCCCACTTTGTAACAAATTTCTCCTCCATTGGGGTATATGAGGCCAAAGAGGAGAAAGTAACCTTAGAGGTTTCCACTGGGGGTAGTTTGAAACCTAAGTGGACCATATCAGTAAGGCCCTGAACTAATAACCTCTGTGATTGACAGCCTTGGCAGAGACAGCCTTCTTCCTTTTAGGCTCTGATACCTCAGCCGCAGAATCAACTACCTGACCTTCCTCAAGATCTTCAACCGCCTCCTCATCCTCCATTTCCACCCATTCCTGTTCGAGGACCAATGGATCAAGAGATGGGGATCTCTCCCATTTATTTTTTCCCCCTTAAGTTACAGACACATTCATCCCTGCGATCTTGTCCTCTAACCCTGCCAAGGCTGATGCAAGATTGTCTTTGGTTATGAATGCAAAGGCTGACGCACCAATAGTTCCCACAATGCCAGACAAACGCAGTGGCTCAGATTGACAGAAGGTCCTCAGGACCTGGCGGACGTGCACTTGTGCCTGTTCCTGTGGTGTCTCCTCCACTCTGCTTTCTGGAAGACATTACTTCACCAGCAATCCCTAGGCCATGTAAAGATTAATCAAACAAGCCACAGAGCCCAGGATACAGCAGTGCAAGTAGTGTGATATCACTACATTCAGTGCAGCCTGCTGAATAAAAAAGGGGCAGCACGAATGCAGCCCTCCTGTCTGACTGGCCAGCCCCCCAGAGGAGTACTCACATGCCCCCAGTATAGCCTGTGTCCAGGCTCCTCACAGAAAACAGCAGCAGCAGCCTACGTGTG